CAAAGTGAGCCAAACATCTTGGAGCAAAGTGCGGGAACAGGGAGGCGGCGCTTGCCCCTGAACTTTTGGGCTGTGGAGAGCGTTACCTCCCCCCCCCCAAAAAAAAACAACTCTGACTTTGACATTTGCACCCCGAACCCTATCTTCATCCCACCCCGGCGACAAAAATATCCTATGACTCATAGTTGGCCAGTCGACTCTGGTAAAATATCGACGACGATCAGTGCATTTCCTATGACCCGGCCGGCCGGCCGATTCGCTGCTTTCACCAGCGGACTCTCAGCGTCTCAACTTCGACAGCAGAAAGAGCCGAAAGATATCTAGATATGACTATTCATTTGGCAGCAAGAGCATGTTTCAATTGCTGTGATGCGGCTGATATGAGATGGGTTGTGATTTTCAACGCACTGCGACTTTGCAAGCTACATTTGCATTGCAGTTTCATGAATATCTACCCAGGTGAATGATTTTTGAATCTTCTTTGTCTTCATTAACGATGCTGCGATGCAGCATCCTGTCCTCAGCGACGAAAGGCATGACAGTCCAGGGTAAGTCAGTGAGATGACCCGATCGAGGTAGCAATTGACCTTAAATTATCCAGACAGCCTTTCCAAGGCACGAAAAGGTGTTAAATGACTATAACAGTCGCAAGCACTCGGACTTCTTCCCTTTGATGAGAATCGAGGGTTCAGTGTTGGAGGTTGATGACCCTTCTCGTGAAGGAGAATGACAGGAGGTGACAGTTTTGTGAAGGGCGGCTTTTGCTGCGTGCAGCGCGGTGAAAAACGACTGTGTTAAATGACAAAATTCCATCCTCTGCCTACACGCTAGGTCCCATTTTGCCACACTGAGGCCGATGTTTCGGATAAAAGGGCCTCAACTGGCCAACATGGGCACTCTGGTCGCTTTAAGCGGATTGGTAGCTACGTAGGGTACTTCTGGAATTTACAAGCTTCTTTAGGAACCAATACAACGTCGGCACTACCCCAGATCCGGTTGACAATGTTACTGTAGTGGTTAAGATGCGCGCCGGGGAAAGCAGAAGTCTGTGATTCGATTCTCCTCGGTGTCCACCGTTCCCGATCAGGGATCTTAACTGGTCGCCGGACCCCCTGGTCAACGGAGTGAATCCTTTGATCGCTCGTGGGCCACTCTGCCCCAAGTGTTTGTTTGGCTGTTGATAGCCCACTGGCCGCTCAGCGACGCATTGGATCGCCATATTATGTGTCCTATATTTTCGTGACCCTTTGGACACCTGTTTTTCGGGCATTGAAATGTCCATCGTATCATGCAAAAGCCCTTCTGGCTGTTTGTGGCTACTCTGACCGTTCAAGGGGTCTCTGGACGCCAGAGTCCTTTGAAATCGCCCAAGGGTCTTATCTGCTCCGTGCCCCTTCTGGCCACCCAGGGGTCTTTTAGCTGCTTGGGGGCTTATTAGGCTACGAAGGAACCGCTCTGACCGCTTAAGTGTCCTCTGATCACAGAGATGACCTCTGGGTTTTCAGAAGCCCACGGTATGCTCAGATCTTTTTTAGGCACCCAGAACACTTCACATGCATAATCCACACTACCCTCTGGGTACTCGTGGCCCTTTTAGCTACGCAAGGCTCATTTTTCCCGCTCAAAGACCACCTGGTTACCAAAGGGCGCTCCAGTTGCTTTCAAAAGCTGTCCAATCTCATACGTGACCCTGCTGACCTGCAAAGGAGTGACCCGCCTACACTTGGGGACACACACGCCTACCCGCCTACGCCTGAGACTTTACCTGTCTGCAGTACTGTGCTGCCTACCACTGGTGCAAATTTTGCCATGTATTCAGCTGCCTTGGCTGCCTAGGTCCTTCGTCGTTTCTTCCGGGGTCGAGGGAAGCAAATCCAGTCGTGGATCGAGCTTGAACGTGAGGCCCCGGGAAGTCTCGTGGGTGGACGGAAACTGCCTTTGTGGTTATACTATCCCACGATATAGGGCCGGTGTGCCTGCAGTCTTATCAGAAGCAGGTATCCTGACATTAGTTGAATGGTACTGCATGGATGCGCGTTTTGCTTGAATGCGCGATATTGAAGATTTCGATGATGTTGATGGACTTTCGGTAACGCGTCAATTCCTTACAACGCTACGGGGGATGGATTCCATTGCCATTTAATGTCATGGTATCGTGGTACATTATTGGCGACAATTTTGCCCGCAGAAATTTGGTTGGCGACAAAAATGCACTTTTACCACCCCTGTATTTGACCGCAAAATTCAACCGGACTATACGGCTGCTCAGAGACCTAGTTTCACAAAACGAGTAGAGGGGAAGTACAAAGGGAAAACAAGCACAAAGGGAAAGCCTACCGCCAGCGAACGGGTTTCTCTACGGCTTTGAGCCACTTTTTTCTCAGAGTTGAAGGACTGGAGACCCAACTGAACAAGAAACTACACCTCTGCGACCGCTGCTACGTGCAAAAAAATCGTCACGAAAATATACTTTTGAGAAAATATCAGGCCTCTTAACATTTGTTTATAATTCAAGATCGTGCCTAACAGAAAGTCCAGTGAGACGCGCCATTTTATCGTGGCATGCACACATTCTTACTCTTCCTGTCCGGAACGTATCGGTTATCTCTTGCAAATATGACGCTTTCCTTGATAGTGGACGTAATTTGTAAAGAGGCTGCTTCTCACACATTATAGGGAGTGTGTGTAATGCTTTCAGCTTTCTCCATAAACGCCTGCGGGGAATTTGGCAATTATCTATGGCTAATTTTGATTGCCAAATGTGCATTTGGGTCTTGCATCGGTTTTGATCTACTTATTTTTACCTATTCCATCGATGGTTGTGCCTGAACAAATACTATCCTAAACGATAAACCAGTCAGCGGGCATGAAACGACGAATGCGCTGGCTTATATGTGGCGAGTAACTGCGCGCTAGACATGACGATTATTTTGGTTGCTAGGTAACGTGCACCTTATTTTGGTTGCTAGGTAACGTAAAACAATCACATTTCCGTAGGGTCTGGTGCAGCCGATTGACACGACACACTACTCGTTCTTCATCTCGGTATAAGTATAAAGTAGGCCGACATGAATTGTTGCGTATCAACTGACCAGCCTTACCATACGTCTAAACCCGTACACTCGCAGCCCTTAGCTGAATGTGAAAAAATCAACAAGATAGCCGCTGCCATCGCCACTGTTCGCAAGCTACTGTCAGCGCTGACAAACGAGATCCTCGAAAAGCAATTGGCTAGAGCTTACGATACCTTCTCAATAATGTCGATATGTTTAGTAGTCAATATTGCTTGGAGGCTACCCAATAACTTCGCTCTTCCATACAAACCAAATAATATTTGGAGGCTGTGGCAATATCTCGTGAGTGGAAGCGAATTTGTTGAAACCATTAACACCAAAAGTTGTAAATCGAAATTTCGTACCGTTGAATACGTGTACAGTCAAAAATCCTAACTTGACTAGACACCCTTTAATTCACATGCATTGCAATTGCTGCCGCATATTTTTCCAAAACGTATGCTTTCTACCGGAGTAATGGATTGTTCAAGATGGGTTAAGCAATCGAGATAAAACAATTTCTGCCAAAAAAAATCCCAAAACAGTTTTTAAGGAGAATAGATACCGTGGTATTGTTTATATCAGACCTTACTCTGGAGCTCACGCTAACATCGATATTTAATGTTTTTAGAACACGAATCACCTTTTCATCCAGATCTAAAACTTAGAGGCCGAACTCTGGGGAGATAAAATCCGGGAAGGTGGATTTAGCAAACCATGTTTGGTTTGCCCTAAAACTTTGTAACCGTTTCCGTGTTCTTACTTCCTTCCGAGAGCCAAGCTTCCGCGATTCTGATCAGTACACTGAAAAATGAGCATTTCATGACAGTCAAATAAGCAGGACATCACTGATACAACCTTGGCGCGCTAGTTCACGGGTCACATTGATATAGAATCGCCGTTGCTGCTTGCAATTCACTGAATAAAACAGATGCTGCTTGCAATTCACTGAACTAAACATCCAAGCAGCTTGCTTGGCCCAGTCCCCCTCGGCTCACGCCACAGCTTGTTGCATACGTGACGGATTTTCAAAAAGCCCAAATTGGGTGCTTTCCAGTCGATTATTGACACACTTATTCGGTTGGAAAATACCTATTTTTCTAAGCATTTTGTGTACGGCATAGTTGCCCTGCCCCATGTAGTCGCACCTACTTCTTCAACTCGTCTGACTGCCTGGAACTGACATAAACCCTTTTAAACGCTCTCAAGCATGGCTAGCTTCCAAGCACATGTGATCGGCTATGCATACAGGCCATACTGACCACATATTTCCAAGCATGATCTCCTTTTCTGCCCTCAGTCAATCGGTATTGTTTCGTTTCGCTGTAACGCCGCTACACCGTGATCTGGGTCCAGGTATTGATCTTGCTGCGCAGCTTTTCGCAATGAGCAAGGTTGGCGCTTTTCATATTAATCGATCGCAGAACCCTATATTTTTATCCTATCGCAATGTTGTCCGAGAAACAACACCAGGTCATGCAAGTGACATGAAAAAATGTCTTACAGCTCATGCAGTACAACGTTTAACGAATGCTAGATGCGACATTACTAACAGGTGCATGATTCCACAATGAGGGGTGAAATGTTATTTCTTAGGACGCTTGACGCCCGGGCTGGGACGGGCGGCTCACGTTCAGGCTGATCATGCAAAACCCGCCCAGCCCGCGGCTTTCCTCGCAACCATACAACGAGGCACTCATTCCTCGCAACCATACAAAGAGGCACTCACGCCAGACATTCATAGACCTCTCCATGTCAGTGAACAAAAATGAAGGTAAGGAGAGCCAATAGTAAGTAGATACAAAAATAAAAATAAAGTCGATAAAGCAGCAAGAAGGGATACACTAGGAGTGGGAAACTCCATTAGCCAACATCCCTCATCTACTGGCGTGACGTCTCGTCCTGACCTTTTTATTGCATGGTTTTTACGCAATGCTTCTTTTTCAGGGAAAGTGGATGAAAAGGCAACTCAGCTGCATGCCATAGCATCGCTGAAGGTGCTGTTGGACACCACAAAACAGGACCTGAAGGAGGGAAAAATGCAGGTAAGGAATACATTTCCCACTCAGCGCTACCTGCTCTTGACGGAGGACCTGCTCCGTCTTCAGCTTGGCTCGGACCAACGGGGCCGTTCGCGAGCTTATGTCTTAGCATTATGTTGACATTGGAAAGGCCCGCTTTATTTGCTCTCTTTTTTATTATTCTGCTGATTTGTCAATCGTCTGTAATTTTTGAGTTCTGAACGTCTATAGTTTCTACAAATTCCCGCTATGAATAATGTCAGGATAATGGTGAGCGACGTTTGGTGCACATTATTAAAATGAACTGGACTTATAGACAAATGGAGCTACTCAATGAAAGCTTGCCTCACTCATTCCGTGAAGTTCGTGCAGTGCTATGGTACTTCAGGAAAAAATGAAATGTAAAAATGAATGAAAAAATGCTGCTTGTTGGTCCATGCATGTGCGAATCTTGCCGACTGTGAACCTTTTCTTTTTATAATCTTATCCATCATAAACCGCTTCTGTCACGATCCCTTGCTGGTATGAATTTTTGTTCAGGAAACCGTCCAGCCTGCCTCTTTCGTTTTATAAACATTTCTTTGCGAGCAATGTGGATGCCAAAATTCTAGTGCGCCGTACAATTTTTAGTTTTTTCCTGCAGCGCAACTTTGAATAGCTTTGGAGGATTTCAGGAAAAGAACCTGCAGTGGCCTTAAAAGTGAAGTTATCCCTGACAACTGCACGCTTTGTGTGACATTCTTTTTAAAATGTGGCCTTCAACGATGCTTTTCCCCCGATGGCCAAATCACTTAATTTTGTTCAACTGAGAGTTGGCTTATCACAACCTATCTCTGCAATCCTGGATGACGTCATATTTTGTACAAGACGGAAAGTTTTATGTTCTTGTAATCCCACACACAAAATTTGACGAGAAGAAGAGTAATTTAGAGCGCTGAAAATTTAGGGAACTTTTCAAAACTATGCTCAAAATTGTTATTCTCCCTGCCCGTAATGCTCTCAAAAGCAAAATCTATCCATGACAAGATTAAGACACGGGTTCGCGTCTCATGATACCTCGAAGTGTTTTCTCATGACTTATACCGATGATTCCTTGATAATGTCGCTTAACCAGTGCTCCTTGGTGTGCTAATGATCTGGAATTTTATGCAAAACTGATAAATTTGGTAATTCAAATGCACTATAGTATGTTTATTTGATGTTTGTACCCATGCAATGCAAAAGCTAATGTCATGCCCTATCAGTTGGTCTTGCGATAAGGGTTCTGTGAGCGATATTCCCGTGTTTTGTATGTTCTACAAGCAGTGAGCCAAAGCCATTCCGTCTAGAGTTGCGATCTCGAGAGATGCGACAGCATTTGTACACACGCATCTCCAAGTGCGTGTGTACAAATGCTGTCCACCTTACCAAGCTATGTCCCTGCTTGCCTTTTTCATCCCGATCTGCTCCTTTTATAACAGACCACTGCCATGAAAACGTCTGAGGTCAAGAAACCTCTCAGGATATCTGCATCCACTCCGTGAATAACTATATCAACACACAAAGTCGACACTCTCGTTGCTGATAGTTTACGTAATGCAATTATTTGCATTGCTCTAAACTCACCTCGTTCAAGGTTTTAACATGCATCATGAACTTCTTCACCTTTTATGATCCCACTCATTATATTTAGTTGTTCTCTGCACAATGAGGCTTGGTCACTACACAGCGTACAAGCTACAGTGCCGCTACTTACGTGTGCAGCTCGTACATAGCCTTGCTATCCGTCTGCAGTCAAAACACTGCAACAAATTGGCAACTGTTTATGGACATCGTCCTGTACAGTAAGTGGTGAAGGAGCAGCTTGCGTCAATAATAACCGAATTGCGTAGGGTTGAAGACAAACAAACATAGTGTAAACACAAAACGTGGTCTAAAAAAACGAAGAACGAACCGACTTCACTCAACACGTCGAGACCGTTCTCTTGAAAGCGCACGGTGCCAGCATGTGAGCCACACCACTGGCTCGGATACCCTGATGCGGCGACCGAGATCTACGCACACAACCACAAACCGGCTGAGACGCCTTTAAGTTTTGGCTCGTTTATTGCAGTCATACAAACGCAGCCACCCTGCCAAGGCACCCGGCTGAGGCCGCCGCGCCATGCGAACGTCACACTCGATCCGAGGCCCGCCGCCTCCTCGTGTACCGCCACTATTGGCCTCGTACTAGCCACCAGGTCATACATCAATGCAATGGATAGCGGGCGGGCGGTGGACATGGGAGCGCCTCACGGCATGCGACACGCCTGCCCAGCCATTCAGGCTGCGGCTGCCCACCTGTATTGACCGGCGTCAGAGGCTATCATCAGCCCACACGAGGGGCCACGGCCAGTGTCGGGACAGCCGGGGCGGGGCCACGGCCAGTGTCGGGACAGCCGGGGCGGGGCCACGGCCAGTGTCGGGACAGCCGGGGCGGGGCCACGGCCAGTGTCGGGACAACAGGGGCGGGGCCGCGGCCAGTGTCGAGACAACAGGGGCGGGGCCACGGCCAGTGTCGGGACAACAGGGACGGGGCCGCGGCCAGTGTCGGGACAGCCGAGGCGGGGCCGTGGCCAGTGTCGGGACAGCCGGGGCGGAGCCGTGGCCAGTGTCGGGACAGCCGGGGCGGGGCCACGGCCAGTGTCGGGACAACAGGGACGGGGCCGCGGCCTAGTGTCAGGACAGCCTGGGTGGGCCCACAATCACTGTCGGGACAGCAGGGGTGGACCCACGATCAGTGTCAGGACAGCATGGGTGAACTCACGATCACTGTCGAGACAGCATGGGTGGACCCACGATCAGTGTCAGGGCAGCAGGAGTGGACCCATGATCAGTCTCATGACAGCAGGGGTGAACCCACGATCAGTGTCAGGACAGCAGGAGTGGACCCACGATCACAGTCGGGACAGCAGGGGTGGACCCACGATCACTGTCAGGCCAGCGGGGGTGGGCCCACGATCATTGTCAGGACGAACGGCCAGTGTCAGGATGCGTCACAGTTGGACCACGGCCTAGGCTAGCGCCGCGGCAGAAGGGCCCAGGGCCGCCTGATCGGGCCGCTCGCAGCCACAACTGATCTCGGATCCGCAGCTCTTAAACAGCTGACGCCTGCCTGGATGACTGCAGGCGCCCGCAGAGAGACAGAAGCCGCTGCGTCTCTGCAGGCGTGGCCACCCGACGATTTGTAGGCATGGCCCACTGTCCGTCACCTGCTGATCCAGCTTCCCCGACCACGATCTCCTGGTGTTGCTGCCTCCCTCAGACCAAAGCCTGGTCGGACACTGTATGCGCCTATGGTTCTGCACGTGCCACGCCCCTGCAGGATTGGAAAGGTTACCAGGGCAACTGACGCGCCCGTCAACACGACAATATCCGATTGACTTGGTTTCGGAAGCCGTAGCACAAAAATGGTCCTTGGCGATGGCTTTGTGCTGTAAATTGTTGTCGGAAATGAGGCCCTTAAGCAAGGTCGTATGAAAAAGCAAGCAACCGTGGAGAGTGGGCTGACTGACATTCTTGCTGCACTCGTCCCAGACAACGGATGGAGCCTAGCGAGAAAAGTGTGGGCCTGGAACTGTTCTGACAAACTTCTTTGGATGATAATTGGTAAACTTATTGCAAGTTTAATGAAAGCTGGTGTGTTTGTCAGGGGTGGTAGAACCTGCGGACTTGGTGGATAAGGTCGACGACAGAAATGTATGCGTCCACGCAAAGCTTGGTGCCCAAAAAAATTTGGACGGCAAATTTTGGTGACAGCTAAAGCGAATAAATACGGCACACCGTGCAAAACATAACATGAGGTCTCCATGCCTAGATATTATGCCTCCATGGTAATACATTTCTTCACACACCAGCGAACGTCTCCGTAAAGGCCCTCTACGGCACCATGGTATCTTTTCTAGGCTTCATTACAACCAGACGAAAAATATATCTTATGATTTTTAGCTGGTCGTCTGACTCGGTGACAGGTCGGCGACAAATCAGTGTATTTCCTATGGCCCGGCCGGTACGCCGACTGGCTATTTTCAACAGCCGACCATCAGTGTCCCGAACTAGGCAGTGTAAAATGCTGAAAGAAGTCTAGATATTGAGTCTCATCTGGCCGCAAGGGCATGTTTCAATCGTTGCGATGCAACCGATATGATGTGGGCGGTGGATTTCAATGCACTGCGATTTTGCAAGTGGCATTCGCATTGCAGTGTCATGGATACCTGCCTAGGGTTTAATTTTTTATCTTAATTATTTTGTTGGTGTTGCCGCGGCCCAGCTCCTGTCCTCAGCGACGAGAGCTATTGACAGTTCAAGGTAAGTCGGCGGGATGATCCGACCAAGATAGAAACTGACCTGTGATTATCAGTGAAGATCGTATACATTATATCTCTTCAGGCAACTTGGTCATGGCAGGCAGCTTCGTGTCTGGTAGATGCGCGTCCATGGCTGTTGCCAGCATTCGGCAATGGTGAAGCGCGTGTGATGCACTATCCGCGGCCAAAGCGTCTCGTCGCTCGCGCTAGCTCGGCTGGCAACGTGCCGGCACAGCATGCTGCAGGGGACAGGCGGCTGCGGCGCGCGTGCGTGGTCGCGTCGGGCGGAAGTGACGCCTCTGCGATGATTGGGAGTGAGGCCCTCGTGACGCATAATTAGCAGCGGGTTACAAAGATTGACTTGCTCAATGAAAAGAGACCATGTTGCCACAGTTCTTACCAATAATTCTTTCATGTGCACAGAAAAGCATGACCATATGGGAGACCAGGATTGCCCTCTGCCCATACTCACACAGGCTGGGAGCATCCGTTAGTGGCCCTGAAAGAGATGTTTCACATAGGGAGTACCTTAATTATGAAGAAATACGTAAGAAGCAGAGAAACCGGTGTTGACTAAGTCACCTATCTTACAAAATAAGCTTTCCAAGTTTCAATGCAACTGTTGAGAATTTTAAACGGACTGAACTCACCAATAACGTGCCCCAAATTTATCTTCATTCTAACCAAGCAAAATTTGTGATCCCTATAGCAGGTTCTGAATCACAGCATATGCCAAACAACAGCAGTAGTGACATTTCTGCCCATTCGTTTTCATTTCTCGGCTCTGCTGTGATTCAACGGCTCGTTTGTAACCATGGTGTCATCCCAAGGCCTAATGCCGTGTAATTCAGAGGTCTTACCTTGCCGAACGGTTCGGCCAAGATAGTGGCGCAGGTAACTGCGCTTAGGCTATATTGTGTGGGTATTACAACTGCGATCAACCTATAGTCAGCGATCGATGCGATATGCCAGGTCAGCAAGATCAGCAAGTTCAGCAAGGCGACGACGCACCAAGCGACGCTTATCCGTGCAGTCGTCGACTAGGCAGAGAAGGTCACAACGGAACCGAACACAGCCATCCGTTCACATCGGGTACCGTCGGTGATCGAGGCTTAAAATCAGCCGAGTGCTTGGAGAGCAGTGTGCGGTCGCCGCCTGAGATCAGTGTGCGGTCTCCGCCTGAGAACATCGCTGGAGTGGGAGCTACAGCTGCGGAGATGCCGCGACACTGACAGTCGTGGCTATGAGGATGGCTGGCATGATTGTGACGGTCAGTGGTGGCGGCCAGGGATGAGACAGAATGCGTGGTGGGTTAGTCACCAACGCAGGGATGGTACCCACCACCTTACCCCCTCCCCCCTGCCGCGTCCGACCTAACGCAACCAGCCAGCCACACATGTCATGTGTGGACCAATAGGATCATAAGTTTGAAAGACCAAAGACGTCAGGACAAATTTGCGCTGCCAACCAACACTGATCGGCACGGCACCACCAACGCGCCAGCGGCATAGCTGCACACAAATGCGACAATTAGGGCATCCGCCTTTCGATCTACCCACCAGTGTATGTGTGTGTGGGGGGGGGGAGGGGGAGTCACTTTAGGCGCCCGCTATTTGCCGTTGCCAAGCATGGCCCGTGATCGGTGGCAGCGGCCGCGCGAAAGGTCAGGTGACGTCATTGGGCAGGACTGACCGTGCCGAGTACTGCGGCTTGTCAAACTTTCGCCGCCAAATTCTGCAGCTGACCTGGAATTTCACGATCGGGTGGTACCACTAACCTGGAATTTCACGATCGGGTGGTACCGCTAACCTGGAATTTCACAATCGGGTGGTACCGTTTAGGACTCACTCAACAAACACGACATAGCATGGGCTCCGATTCGAGAAATCTATTCATTGAAAAGGCTCGAATTGCTTTTTTACCAAAAAGCAATTGAAGGCCTGCATTCACTAACTTGCGTTCCCTTCGTCCGATGTAAGCACTAGCGGTGCATCATCGGCTTAGATGTTCTGGGCATGGCAGCACCAGTGAACCCTGCCAGTCGCTCGTTATGAGCACCCTCACTTTGTAGAATCGTCCAGAGCTGGTCGTGCAAGAGCTCGAAATACGTAGCGTAAAATTATGATAGATGTTTGAAGCAATTTTTTACTTTCTGACCGTGAGGGTAATTTTGTTTTTATTTATGGGTGTGGTGAGGTGGGGTTCTGGGCGACACGGTTAACATTGACTTAAGCCGCCGCCATTGTGGTGACCCGAGGATCTGCCTCCAGCTCGGAGAGCTCAGGTGATGTTCATCCAGCTCGGAGACCTCAGAGTATCTGCCTGATAGGCCAGCTCGGAGAGCTCAGAGGATCTACTTGGGAGGCCAGCTGAGAGAGCTCAGGGGATCTGTCAAGGAGGCCAGCCTGGAGTTCTCGGTGTTACCTTCTTTCAAGTGCTCATTATCATATCTGTTAGTCCCACACCAACTCGTAGGACAAAACCTGTGCGTATTTTAGCGTGCCTGAATGAGCGCTGCGTGGTGTATGCAGAAGATAATGGGGAGAAGAACAACTACCAAATGTGACGTTAAAAAAAACGTTGTGAATGCCCACCAAGGCGATAGACTAGTTCTTACCACCAGACGTCGAAAGACATGCTCTAAGTCTGCAGCGAATCGGTCCGCGCAGTCCCTTTTCCTTCCCGCGGAACGCGCGGAACGTGTGGAACAACCATGTGTGGAATCGTCTGCTGCTTCATACGGTTTATACAACCAGGCGATGTCATGCCACTGGCGCTTTATTCTAACGCTCTTGAAGCGCACAGGCCTGGCCGCCCATGATAGTGGGTATTCCGTCTCTGTGGATGTGACCATTCACGCGTATCTGACCAAATCGCGAGAAGATAGTCGACGCATGCCAAAACTCTCGGCAGCGTTGCGGTCCGGTTCCGGACACGCTTCCGCGAAAGCCAGCGAGGTTCACGGCCTTTTGTGCCAAGCGGCTGAGCTGGCGCGGCCTCCGAAGTGTCCCAGTCCTGTCAATACCTGGTCGTTCCCAAGTCAATATTGCACCGCTCTGATGAACTAGTCCGATCGATTACCGAGTCAGCCCGAGCTGCCGCAATGATTTATCGAATACACTCCCTGCTTGCCGACTGAAATGAGACCTTGATGAAAGAACGACCCGCTCTTCTCTGGCCGCCGTCCCATAACAACAGAAGCCAGCGTCAGTTTCATTTCCACTGGCAGGCAATTACGGCGGCGGCCCAGTCGTACAATAGGCACGCAACTGTCGCTATCATGCACCGCCACACGCCGCGCCACCGCGAATGCCCCCGGGCGTCGAGGCCCGCCTCCGCCGAACTCTGCCCGGCGTGGGCGCCGCGATCTCGCGAGCTGAGCGCCGCCCCGCTCTGGAGGCGTCGTGTGTTGAGTGTCGCCCGTGTCGCAGGTGTCCGACATCGAGGGCGCGCGACCCGACCTGCTGAGCGCCGCTCCGCTCTTGAGGCGTTGTGCGTTGAGTGTCGCCCGTGTCGCAGGTGTCCGACATCGAGGGCGCGCGACCCGACCTGCTGAGCGGCCGCGGCTCGCAAGAGACAGAGCTGACCAACGTCGACTCGCTCAATTCGTCCACCGAGTTCGGCTCGGCCAGCGTCAACGCCATCACCACGGCCAACGGCTCCGTCACGCCCGCCGTCCAGACGCCCAACGTGAGTGGCCGACGGGCCCGCCGCGAGCGCGGCACGTGGTGTCTGGGGGCCCCCGCCGCACGTGGCTGTCCCGCAGCCCTCCCGCACGTGGTGTCCTCGGGGCCCGTCCTCGCGCCGGCGATACAGGAACCCTCGCCCACGGCGCGGCGGCGCCGTCCAGCTGGCGACCGGCAGGGGCTTGCAGTGACTGTTCAGCTGGAGACCGGCAGGGGCTTGCAGTGACTGTTCAGCTGGCGACCGGCAGGGGCTGGCAGTGACTGTTCAGCTGGCGACCGGCAAGGGCTGGCAGTGACCGTTCGCTCTTGTCCGATAGTTCGAGCTACATCCAGCAGATTGACGCCATCTGGCATGAAATAAACGTTATGTCTGTCTGGCAGGGGCAGGTCCGTAGGTAGGGCGGGGGGGGGGGGGGCAGGAAGATGGTCTCTCCAAAGACAGCGAGAAACACCTAAATCCAGCGCATTTTGAGTACAGTATTCGACTCCAGACCGAGATATCCCCAGCTCAAAATCCGATGCTCGGATGCACTTGAAGGCCTGCCTTTTAATCGGAAGCATAAGGTGTGATTCCTTTGGTAGAGTAGTTGGTATTGCTATAAAAAACAACTAATCGCTGCCACGCACCATTTTCTTGTCTTTAGTCGAATTGGCACCAAGTGTGGAACCGGCCACCAACAATGAGCTTTGGTTTCTCTCGCGACCCGATGCCAGATCAGCCGTTGCGTCTGGAAAAAGTTGTGTTCAGCGCCGCACCGTATCTAAAGCGACTTTCATAAAAGCTTTTGCTGCGCTAGCATTGAGCTCCGTCAAGCACATGACGCGATAAGCTGGCACTTTCTTCGCTCAACGAACTCATCTTTTAGAAAACTTGACATCCCTTTAATCGCTGCGATTTTTCGAAAGAGAATATGTTGTCTGAAGTGCGCGAGAAGAGCAAGAGCACTTTCATGGCTAAGCTTTTGAAGAAAAGCAAGATGCGGCACGACTATCGCAGCACGAATACATCACTAAATGAGATACAATGCTGGCTATGCAGCTGCTGCCTCGAGGAAGGCTGATGTATGCTTTATGCTAAAAAACCGTAAAGTGGCTGTGTTGCGGCAGAACCAGTAGCCCATTCCGTGATGCAAATTTATAATATTGTGTTACACCTTAAAACAAGGGCCGCTGTGTTACCAGTTTGTGTAAATGCATTACCGTCTCGATCGCAGCAGCCCACATTTGGAAGCGGCCCCAAAGCGGTAAATACGACCCACATTTTCTTGGTAGTGTCAACAGACAAACTCGTTTCAAATAGCAGAGGTGGAGCTTCCTGAAAGCCAACTGTATGAGTCTTGGCTGAACACACATTACCATCAGACGCGAACAACGTCTGAAATGCGGGAAGACCTCCTTTGCGAGTCGAACATGTTTATGCACCACCATATGTTTGATATTAATCTGCCAATAAAGAGGAAGGCCATACACTCCAACTCCCACACCTCGCGGTCACTCGGTCTCCCTGCCACCCGGCCTCCGGGCCCCCCGCCCCTGGGCCCCGGCCCCTGGCCCCCGGCCTTCCCGCCTCCCGGCCTCCGGGCCTCCCGGCTTCCACAACCTCGGCCCCTCGGTCTCCCAGCTACCCAGTCACCCAAACCCAGCTCTGGCGCCCCTGGCTATCATAAAAACTTTCAACAGACACCCAACGTCGCATAATTGTAAAAGGTTCAGTGTAAGGTTCCAGATAAAAGTGTAAGGTTGTATCCATTCAACACTCCTCGGTTTGCGGTTTTACACAAAATAATGCATTACAGAATGTTTGACAAGCCAATTTATCACAAGTTTTCCCATCGATACACAATTTATCATCTTACGAGTTTACACAGAATACCGCATTGGGATATTTCGTTGCATGAAAGTCGGTCACACCCACACACCCACACCCACCCACACACCCACACACCCACACACCTACCCACACACCCACAAGGCGTGGGTTTGGTCATTTCGACAAGGCGTGGGTGCTACAAATGACGCCAAGGCATTGTGTTGTGAAGATTGACACGTCGCATTTCACTGCAGCCTATACGTGGGCGCGTTCCGCGTCCATTTCATCGAGGGAACACCCCTTTGTTGCCGCTGCTGCCCAGCGCCTCACAGTGGTTCTAACATGGCTGGCATCTTAAGCCAGGGGCAGATCCAGAGGGGGGGGAGGCACGGGGTCATGACCTCCCTTGAGCCCCGAAGGGGCCCATCGGCTTCGAGGGGTCCACAGCCGGCCGAACAGGTACAATTTTTAACACAAAACGCAACAAAACTGGGTATCTTTGGCTTCCCAGGCGACCAAGAACAATTATAAGCGAAAGTGAAGGGCCTATGAGGAGTAAAAAAATTCAATATTTGAAAAAGCTGTGAACTGGAAATTTTAAGCCTCATTATACTGTCTAGGGTCCCATTCCGTTTTCAGGGGACCTATATGCCCGCCTGCAGGATCATTACGATCGTTAAGGAGCATTCCACGTTGGTCTTCATTTCTTTGTATTTGCTCGAAGGTCCCTGCGCTGTTGTTGGGTCCTTCCTGTTAGCGTGCCCGGGCACTCTTGTCAATCACGGGCCATTTCACGGATTTTTCCATTTGTCAGAAAGGCTCCGTGAGCTATAGCCGGGGCCCCATATCTTAACCTGCCGGGATATTCTCGGTTGCTCAGGGGCCCTTTATGTGGGTCCCGGTTGACCTACCGAGACACTTGCGATATGCTCATAGGCCCTCTACATCGCTCTAGGGCGTTTCCAATTCTCTGCCTCTCGCTCAGGGCCCTGCACTCTTGCCGGGGGCCCATCTGATGTCTAGCTTGGGCACACTCGGTCGTCCGGGGACCCTCCACACTGGGTCTCGTATACTTCTTTTCTGAATGAGCGCCCTACGCTTTTGCGTGTTTTTTTTGGGGGGGGACCTATCTGATAACCTGCTCGAACACATTCGATCGTTTGGGTCCCTCTTCATTGGATCTTAGGCACGTGCTGTTTGAATGGGGCTCAACACACTTGCCGGGGGCTCCCTCTGTTTGCCTCTGCGGCCACACTGGATTGCTCTTGGGCCCTGCACATTGGTTCTTGGTGTTTGGATTTAGGGCTCTGTTCCCATCGTGGTCATCTGGCAACCTGTTCGGGTACACTCTGTCTTTCGGAGGCCCTCCGCACCGGGTTTTGGGTAATTTTTATTTGAATGGAGGGCATTAAGCTCCTTTCGGGGCCCGTTCTGACACGATGTTCGGGCTGATTTGATCGTGGGGACCTCTGCATCTATTTTTGGGTACTTCCTTTTTGAATGGAGGGCCTTCCGCTTTTTTGAGGGCTCTTTCTGTTAACCTGCTGGGACACACTCAAATATCCGGGGACGCTCCACATTTTGTCTCGGATACTTCCTACCGGAATGGAGGGCCCTACGCGCTTATCGGGGACCCCATCTGTTCGCCGCTTCGGCCACACTGGATTGTTCCGGACCTTTATATTGAGCTTCGGTGAATCTGCTCGGGTATACTCCATCTTTCGGGGGCCCTCCGCACTGGGCTTTGGGTATTTCTTATTTCAATGAAGGACCCTACGCTATTGTCAGGCCCCTTCTGATAAACTGCTTGGGCGCACTGAATCATTCTGGGGCCCTCTATATCGTGTTTTGTGTACTTCCTATTTAAATGGAAAGCCCTGCACTCTTTTTGGGAACCTTATCTGTATACCTGCTCGGGCACACTCGATCATTCGGGGCCCTCTGCATTGGGTCTCGGGTACTTCCTATTTGAATGAAAGGCCCGCGCTGTTGACGGGGGCCTTATACGTTAACCTGCTCGGGCGCACTCGATTGTTCAGAGTCCTACGGATTGCGCCGTGAGTATTTCTTATTTGAATGGACGGCCCTGTGTTCTTGGTGGGCCCCATCTATTCAGCTGTTCGGGCCGGTGGCGGATGCAGAGGGTGGGTGGTAGATGCACGGGACCATGCCCCATGGACCATGCCGAGATGATCTAAAGGCTCCGAAGGGACCCAAAACCGGCCGGACGGGCGCAATTTTTTTAAAACAAAAAGAGAACAAAATTAGATGCCTTTGGGCCTACAGACGACCAAGAACCATTATAAGCAAAAGAAAAGAGTTCATAAGTAAACGAATGTCATTATTTGCTGATTGAGAATGTGTTGCTTGGGAGAAATTTTGGGGCTCATCACGCTGTCTAGAGACATAACGCTGTTGGTTGCCTGGCCCTTTATGTCCACTTTCCGGGTCAATCTGATTGCCAAGGAGCTTTCGGCGTTACCCTCGATCTCTTTGCATTTTCTCTTAGGGCCCAATGTGACGTTAGGATGCTATCTGCCTCCATGCCTGAGCACTGTTGATCGATCAGGGTTTCCTTCAAGGATTCTTCCCATTCGCCCGAAGGCTCTTCACACTTTTTCCTGGGTTACAAATACCAGGGTACACTCAGTTGCTCAGAGGCCCTTCACATAAGTCCCGGGTTCTTTCCTTTCGCTCGGAGGGCCTTGCGCTGTTGCTAGAGCTCTTATGAGTTAAGGCATGGAGACACTGGATGTTCAGGCGTCCTCTAATTTGATCGAGGGCTCTCTTCCTTTGGTCTCATTTGCGGAGGACTCTTCACTCCCATCGAGGCTCGTATTGTTGACCTACCCGTACACTCTTGATCACACAGGGGTACTAGTTCATAATGTTGCATAATTCCCCTTTGCTCGGAGGGTCCTGTGCTATGCGCGGGGCTTTATATGTCAGCCCGCCATGGCGATACCGATCGTTTAGGGGCCCACCACGTTAGTTTTGAACTCTTTTTGCTTGCTCTGATGGCCCCATACTTGTTGACGGGAACCACTTTGTTGGCCTCCTTTGGCACCAATGATCACTCATGTGCCGTCCCTATTGGCCCTGGTGCCTTCGCCTTAGAGCAGCAGTCGAATACGCGACGATGAATTTTACGCGCGATTGCCGAACGTAATTTTACATGCCGATGTCGTGTGTGT